GTCAGGACTAGCCTTGCTTCAGGCGTCTGGGAGCCAGCTCTCAGTGAGGGTGTGTGTTCCCTGAAGGCAGGGCTGACTCTTGGTCAATTTTGGTCTCTGCCTCTCATCTTGTGAGATGTTGGGCCCGCAGGGGACACTCAGGTGATGTTACTGGCCCATTGTTAAGTGGGAAACATGCTTTCTTTAATTTAATTAGATGGTTCTTGTTTTGGATTTTTGGTTTCTTCTAGGGAACTGCCTTATTCAGAGCCTAACCATATTTTTAAAGGAAACATTATTTAAATGTGCATGTATGCACAAAAACAGAGAGCGAAGTGTAATGAATCTCCATGCACCTGTTCTGAGGCTTCAATAATCATTCTGCAAATCTGGTTCCATCGGTTTCCCTAAATGCTTCCCTTTCATTTCCTTTCTCCTTTTCTCTTCCTCTTCTTTCCCGTCAGTATTTTAATGTAAAATTTAAACATCCTCCTTTTCACTTATATATGCACCTATAGCTATAATATCTTCTTTCTTCTTTTAACATAAGTATTGTGTCAAAAGTTTAAAGTGTTCAGCCAAGTGTGGTGGCTCACGCTTGTAATCCCAGCACTTTGAGAGGCTGAGGTGGGGAGCATTGCTTAAACCAGGAGTGTGAGACAAACCTGGACGACACATTGAGACCTATGACTCTAGAAAAAAAAATAATAAAATAATTAGCTGGGCACAGTGGCATGCACCTGTAGTCCCAGATGCTTGGGAGGCTGAGGTGGGAGGATCACTTGTACCCAAGGGTTTGAGGATGCAGTGAGCTGTGATCAGACCATTGCCATCCAGCCTGGGCGACAGCCTTTTAAAAAGGCTTTTATCTCTTTAAAAAAAAAAAGTTCCTTAAAGTGTTAAAAGTATAGCAGCAAAATTAACAACCATCCCTTAGTCTCACTAATACCTAGTACATCTTCTGATTGTTCCCTGGATTATCAAAGGTATCTTTCTAAAGTCCCCCTCCGTTTCTTTTTGCAAACTGTTGATTTGATGAAGGAGCTGGATCGTTTGCTTCAAGTTTGCTCTAAAGATCGCTTCCTCGAGGTATTGTTTGATTTATGTTTTATATAAGGTTATTAGATCTGGAGCCTTCTTGGCTCAAGTTTTTCAGAGACTGACTTTCTATTAAGTAGATGTGAAGTGAGCATATTAGTAGTTGAGCATGGGAAGAAGTGAGACATCCCTCCGAAAGCAGAGAGTAGGCGTGGGGCACGGCGGTTAGCAGCTGGGGCCAGCCGATGGTCCAGGGACTAAGCTTGGCGTAGATGAGTTTGAGCTAAGATGCTCCCACCCAGCTGCGAACCCCAGGACCTGGTCTGTGGCGTGGTGTGTAGAGCAGGAGGTAGCATCTGTTTGGTTAGGAAACTTTTTCAACTAACCTCTAAATGATTGACAACTCTGAAGCCATAGCTTGACTGTTGAGCAGAGGATTAAGAAAAATTGGTTGAGGAAAATGAAGAAATGAAATGGTCACAGAAGTGTGGGAGGGGAATGGCTGAGACTGGGCCACGGTCCAGGTGTGGGGCTGAATTCCCAGTGTTTCCCACCATGGTCTCTACTGAAACTTCTCCTCCTGGTTGTATGGCCACATGATGGCCCAGCACAGCAGCTAGCTCTTCAGCATGTCTTGTCTCTGGTCTGTGAGCCAGAGCAGCTCTGGTCTGTGTTGGGGACTGGCAGCCACACCAGACTTGAATCACAGCTTGTAAGAAATAACACCAGCAGCAGCCAGCAGTGAATGCATGCTTATGTGAATGCCTAAACAGAAATGCACAAACGCCAAGAGATTTATTCCAAGTGGTGCCACCATACTCTTGAAAGTGGAGAAGTAATTGTTAGGCTGGCTTGTGATGTTGGCCCTAGAGTTGTGTGGTTTGAAGAAGGCTTATGCAGACTCTCGATATATTGTCTTCCCTTGAGTGGCTAGTGGGATGGACTCAGGGACCTCCCTGAGAGATGAGATGTTGGCATATGTTTACCAAAAACAGCATTAGGACACTAGAGGGAGGGAATGGAGACAGTGACCATGGACTCAACACCTCCATGCCTCAGTTTCCCCATTGTCAGGTGGAGCTAATCATCATCATCATCACCTCATGGGGTTGGGTGAGCTAAGTGAAATACATATGTAAATTGTTAAGAACTGTGCCTGATGTGTAGTAGGTATTCACCCAAACGCCTGAGGTTTTATAGCTCTCAGTAGATCCTGCTTAATGAGTACATAAATGTTAGCCATTAGACGAAGCTAATGCATTACTGCATGCCCGTGTCAGTGGCTGTTATGTGATGCATATCAGTTCTGTGAATGAAGAAAGTTACAACGTTTACATAGGTTTCAGGAGGTGTTTATACAGGTAGTAAAATGAATTGCTCTTTGGCTAGTGCTGGAAACACAACTGAAGCCATGTAAAGTGGTCATTGCTATACAGGTTGTCAGTCCCTAGATGCCCAAATGCTGCTGCTTCGAGGGATTCTTTGAGAGCTGCAGTATTGTTTCAGGTCCTCTGTGGTGTTCTCTAACATTTACTATCGGGGTGTGTGTCTCTCATCTCCTCTGTTGTCTGTGAGCTCCTAGAAGGCAGAATGTCCAATAGTGCTCTACATGAAGCAGGCAGCCACTAAATACTAAATGCCCCGCCTGGACTGTGTTTTCAGCAAGGCAGGGAAATGAATCAGACTTTTATTAGAAAACATTGCTCAGAGCACGATTATTGGATGGATGTTTATGGAGCCGCCTCTTTGTCGCAGGGAGATAGATGAAGAATTTTCTCTTCACCTGTTGCATAGGACTGTGTGATTCTGCAAACCCGCCATAGTCCCCAGACTACAGGTGGGCATGGACCTGGATGTCCATGAGAATCCAAGGAGGTGTAAGTCATGGCCTCCACCTGCAAAGCCTGCACGACTGACCAGAAGCAGGCTGAGCGTGAAAGAAGGTAGAAGGCAGTTTGTGCTCTGGCCTTCAGAGGAGAGGAGTGTGGTCTGCAAGCTAAGCAAAGGGAGGTTTTATGGAAAAGTGGGTGGGTAGCAGCTACGGGATTTGCAGAGAGAGCACAAATCACTTCATTGGCTGAAATGACAAGGTGAGGTTGGCATGATTGAGACCTAAGTGTGCTTCAGGACCCACTCACTGGTTTTTGCTGCAGACGGCCTGGAACTGGAGTCAGAGTCACTCTGGCGAGGCTTTGCTGGCTGTGTGGCAGTCGGGTGTCAAGACCACTTTGAGTTGAGAGGCCGATCTGGCACTTCTCTGCAGTCTCAGCTTCCTGAGTGAAGATAAGACTAGTGCCTGCTTTCTAGGGTTACTACGTGTGTTAACGAGAGAGTAGCTGCCACCATTGGATGCTACATCAGTGGATGGGCTGACCTTGGAGGAAATGTTTGGGAAGCAGCTTGGCAGGTGCACGTCTCTGCCATTAAAGGCGACGTGGATTCTCCCACCTGCCTCTTCAGAGCATCCTGGGCAGACCTCCCGGGTTCCTAGTGATTTTCTGTGGTTAATTCAAAGGCCAGGTGTAGGCTTCTTCATTCTGCCCAGATCAAGAGTTTCAGAAAACAGCGGTGCTGAAGCGTTAGTGTCCGCAGCAGTTTTTTTTTTGAGTGGGGGTGGGGGTGGGGGCAGGATCCTTGCTCCACTTCTTTGCCTCTTTCCACCCACTGCTGGGCCCCGCAGAGTCCAGGGTCAAGGGGATTGGAGGGGAGAGAAGGCAGAGTCTTCACTTCCCAGTGCTGGTGGGCTCCCTCTGGGCCGCCACATGTCTCCGGTCATGGCTGGCCTTTCGGGGGGAGCACATTAGTGGTTCTTTAGAGCTGCTTCCCCCCACTGTCATCCCACCCTCAGGGGCCTTACAAGGAACTTTCCCTGATGCTCTGTCCTGTGGCCTCTGCAGCCTTCACCCCCTCCTGCCTGGGCCTTCTCCACTGGCAGACAGCCCACCGCTTCCACAGGGTCTTGCGTGGGGCATCTGGCTGGCTTCTGAGCTGTCCTGGTAGTCCCGCCCTGGGAAGTCCAGCATCCTTCTCCTGCCCCAGCCACCCTGCTGCCTGCTTCTCCCCGATAGCCTTCCCAGCAGCTGCAGCCAGGTGAGGGGCAAGCTCCTGGGAACGCCCTGTGCTCCGGTCCAGAAACAGCAGAGGGTGAGCTCATGGGGCGGGAGCAGCTCTGCAGGGCTGCACCGGGCCAGGCAGTGCCGTTGTTCTTTCTCACACGTGCTCGGTTCTTCAGGAGGGGCCTCTCCTTTAGCCTCAGGGAAGCGAAGGGGAGAGGCCGCAGAGCTCTCCTCTCTTTTATTATTTGTTTATTGAGATGGAATTTTGCTCTAGTTGCCCAGGTTGGAGTGCAATGGGGCGATCTCGGCTCACTGCATCCTCCGCCTCCCAGGTTAAAGAGATTCTCTCTCCTCGGCCTCCTGAGTAGCTAGGACTCCAGGTGTGTGCCACCACGCCCAGCTCAGTTTTTGTATTTTTAATAGAAAAAGGGTTCTGCCATGTTGGCCAGGCTGGTCTTGAGCTCCTGACCTCATGTGATCTGCCCCCCTCGGCCTCCCAAAGTGCTGGGGTTACAGGAGTGAGCCACCGTGCCTGGCCTGTTTTTTAACTTCCAGCAGAGGCCTCTCCCAAGTCATCTCCAGCCTGCTCTGAAAGGGGCTGTGACATTTGGACACTGCGTAACAAGTCCTGTGAGGACGGGCCTCGAGCCTGTCTTCAGGAAGTGAGCTCTTTCTAAAGCATGTCACCTCTTGTGTCTAGTTTTGAGTAAGCAGGAGGAGTGTCATCCTGCTCTTCACAAGGTTCATGCGCCCGGCCTGGCACGCAGTAAACACCCAGCGAGCGCTGGCCGTTGCCAGGATTGACCCTCTTTGGGCTACGGTTTTCTCATCTGGAAAGTGCAGTTGACGGAGCTCTGCTCTGCGTGCCGCCTAGGGCTGAGGATGTGCATGAAGGCGTTGTGAGTCCGTTCCGTTTTTACACCGTAGCCACAGCACAACGGGATCTCTCCGCGCATGTTTAAGGCCTTTGTAAGCAAGAGCCACCCGGAATTCTCCTCTAACAGACAGCAGGACGCCCAGGAGTTCTTCTTGCACCTGGTGAATCTCGTAGAGGTGAGTGGTCAGCCTCACGGACGCTTGGCGGGTGGTAAGGAGGCGCCTGGCTGCTGGCACAGAGCCCTCCCCACTCTCTTCCTGCCTCAGTCTCTCCTGTCGAAGCTGCTTCAGAATCGGCTTTCTGGAAACTTTCTCTGCTCAGCCCACTTGATGTGACCGCTCCTCACGCGCCAGTTTGCAGACACTCGTGGCTCGCGCTGCTCCTCTCAGCCTGTGTGTGTCACAGGACTGCTTGCCCCTTACTCCACTCGCAGTTTACCTGCTCTGGGCTTTGTGACACAGTTCCTTAAGAGCCCTGTGTGGCATGTGGTGTCCTCCTGCCACTGTTCGAAGATGATGACTCTGTTCACATGAGAATAAACTGCATTAAAAACATTTTTGAAAGCCACTGAGAATTCCTGAGTAAAGGGTTTTTTGCCCCCCAAAAAGCAACTTTTTTTTTTCCCGGTTATTGCAGTGTTCTTTGTGGAAAATATGGAAAACACAAAGGAGGACATCGAAATTCCCCTTAATGCCACCTCTGCAAACAGCCAGCGTTTTCTTTTTCTTTTTTTTTTTTTTTGAGATGGAATCTCACTCTGTCATCTGGGCTGCAGTGCAATGGCACGATCTCGGCTCACTGCAACCTCCGCCTTCCAGGTTCAAGTGATTCTCCTGCCTCAGCCTCCCGAGTAGCTAGGATTATAGGTTCCTGCCACAAGGCCTGGCTAATTTTTTGTATTTTTAGTAGAGACCGGGTTTTGCCGTTTTGGCCAAGATGGTCTTGAACTCCTGACCTGGTGATCCACTCTCCTCAGCCTCCCAAAGTGCTGGGATTACAGGCGTGCGCCACTGCGTCCGGCCAGTGTTCACGGGGTGGCGCCTGCCCCTCCAGGCACTGCCCAGTTCTCATGTTCATTTTCTGCATGCTGCTCTGTAAGCATTGTTTTCAGGCAGATGTTTTGCCAGGTCACCCCACGTCTGTCTGTCTTACCTGATTCGCGTGAGTGTCTTTGTGGAATCAAGTGTTACGCGCTTTCATTCGTCCAGGGCAGCCCTTTATTTTTTCCCCTTTCTCTTCTTGACTTTCCCTCCTCCTTTCTTCTCATTCATGAATTTCCCTCCCATGCTTTTAAACTTGATAATGTTGAAATATTAATCCATGATGAACTATATTTTATTTTACCAATGCCTGTTTTTGGACCTGAGTTACGTTCCAGTGTTTTGCTATTGAAGTACTTTGGTGAATGGCATCCCCAAAGAAAGTGTCTAAAGCCAAGTGTTTACACCAGGTTTATAGCTCATTTTCTAAGTTGTGTGACCCAACATTAATGCATTTGCTAACCTGATACAATCCGTCCTTCAGAGGAACCGCATCGGCTCAGAAAACCCGAGTGATGTTTTCCGATTTTTGGTGGAAGAACGCATTCAGTGCTGCCAGACCCGGAAAGTCCGCTACACGGAGAGGGTGGATTACCTGATGCAGTTACCTGTGGCCATGGAGGCGGCGACCAACAAAGGTTAACAATTCCAGAGCGGGAAATGGGTCCAGTGTGTATCCCCATGGGGACTGAGTGACGCGTGTCTCCGTGGGAACCAAGCGCCGCGTGTCTCTGCGTGGGAACCGAGTACCGTGTGTGTCTGCATGAGAACCGAGTGCTGCGTGTGTCCGCGTGGGAACCGAGTGCCGCATGTGTCCCTGTGGGAACCGAGTGTTGCGTGTCTCTGCGTGGACCGAGTGCTGCGTGTGTCTGGGTGGGAACCGAGTGTCACGTGTCTCCGCGTGGGAACTGGGTGTCACGTGTGTCTCTGTGTGGGAACTGGGTGCCGAACTGAGTGCTGCGTGTGTCCATGTGGGAACCGAGTGCCGCGTGTCTCCCTGTGGGAACCAAGTGCCGCGTGTATTCCTGTGGGAACCGAGTGCTGCATGTCTCCTTGTGGGAACCGAGTGCTGCGTGTGTCCCTGTGGGAACTGAGTGCCGCGTGTCTTCGTGTGGGAACTGAGTGTCGCATGTCTCCGCATGGGAACTGTGTGCCATGTGTGTCTCCGTGTGGGAACTGGGTGCTGAACTGAGTGTCACGTGTCTCCGCGTGGGAACCGAGTGCCGCATGTCTCCACGTGGGAACCGAGTGCCATGTGTCTCCGCGTGGGACCGAGTGCCGCGTGTGTCCGCGTGGGAACTGAGTGTTGCGTGTCTCCGTGTGGGAACCGAGTGCCATATGTGTCTCCGCATGGGAACCGAGTGCCACGTATCTCCCTGTGGGAACCGAGTGCCACGTGTGTCCCTGTGGGAACCGAGTGCCGCATGTCTCCCTGTGGGAACCGAGTGCCACATGTGTCCCTGTGGGAACTGAGTGCTGCGTGTCTCCGTGTGGGAACTGAGTGTTGCGTGTCTCCGCGTGGGAACTGGGTGCCATGTGTGTCTCCGTGTGGGAACTGGGTGCCGAACTGAGTGCTGCGTGTCTCCCTGTGGGAACTGAGTGCTGCGTGTCTCCTTGTGGGAACCGAGTGCCACGTGTGTCCCTACGGGAACTGAGTGCCGCGTGTCTTCGTGTGAGAACTGAGTGTCGCATGTCTCTGTGTGGGAACTGGGTGCCATGTGTGTCTCCGTGTGGGAACTGGGTGCCGAGCTGAGTGTCGCGTGTCTCCACGTGGGAACCAAGTGCCGCATGTCTCCGCGTGGGAACCGAGTGCCGCGTGTGTCCACGTGGGAACTGAGTGTTGCGTGTCTCCGTGTGGGAACCGAGTGCCATGTGTGTCTCCGCGTGGGAACCGAGTGCCGCGTGTGTCCCTGTGGGAACCGAGTGCCACGTGTGTCCCTATGGGAACTGAGTGTTGCATGTCTCCCTGCGGGAACCGAGTGCTGCATGTCTCCATGTGGGAAAGCCCTCGAATCAGAGAGAATATTCTAGTCACTGAAGTCTCAGGAGTAGACCTAGACCCCATGATCTCTGCTTTGCACGTCTCTCTCATGTCTTTGTTAGTTCCCCTGTGACTTCCTTTGAGAAGAAACAAACGCACCTCAGGTTTTACCGAGGCATCATGGATTTCACTGCCTATAAATTTGGCCAGCTATTGAATTTGGAGTTAGCATAATTTTGGGGAAAATTATTGGTAATGATATCTGTGGAAATTTCTTTAACACCGTCATTTACAAGTTGCGCTACAAAGCCCTAGGGAAATGATCAGGACTGCATTTTTTCAAGTTAGACATTCTAGTAGAGGTCTCCTGAAATAATCCAGCTTTGGCCAGCATATATTTCAGCCACGTCTCCTGGGAGATCAGTGGTGTCAGGGTTCTTTGTAAAAGCAAAGCCCATTGGAAGGGTCTCTGGGCTCTGGAAGACAGAAGAAGGCGGAGTTGTGGGGTTCACGTTTGGTACCTTCTCCCTCCATCAGTCTAGTCTGGTTCTTCTAGGCAGAATAGACAAATTGCATTTCTTTGAATTAACATCGTAGAAGCAGAAAAAGACGGAATAGCTGCTGCATTGCTCCTCTCTTGTGAACCGGTCATTTTTTGTTAAGTTTAGCAATTCCGCTGTGCAGCCATAAAAAGGAAGGAGATCATTTCCTTTGCACATGGATGAAGCTGGAAACCATCATCCTCAGCAAACTAACACAGGAACAAAAAACCACCCCATATTCTCACTCAGAGTGGGAGTTGAACATTGAGAACATGTGGACACAGGGAGGGGAGCGTCACACACTAGGGTCTGTGGGGGAGTGTGGGGAGCAAGAGAAGGGAGCTTAGAGGATGGGTCAGTTAGGTGCAGCAAACCACCATGGCGCCCGCACACCTGTGTAACAGACCTGCACGTTCTGCACGTGGATCCTGGGTTTGCTTGTTATAAAGAAAAAAAAGTTCAGCAATTCCCTGAATGGCCCTTTTTCCTCTTTCTTGTGGATGGGGGGACATGGGTCAGTTCGTTATGCTAATTGGAAAGTGATGATTAGGGTGATTTTAAGATGAAATGCTTTTCATTTGCTATATGCTCATGTAGCTTTTGATCAGTTTCAAAATGCTTATCCATTACACAGTGCAGAAATAAGAAAGGGGGTCTGTGGTTTGTTTCCTTGTTAAAATGAGGCTCCACTTTTTCCTGAGTATGTAATAGCACAGAGGCCTTCTAGGTGGGGAGGCCTAATGTCCGAGGTGCTGGGATGTGCGATGGTGGCTGCCTGCAGGCCTCCTCCCTGGCCTCACACCTCTGCTGGACCCATGACCTCTAATTGTAGCTGCTGGTGGAACCAAATCAGAAAATGTCGAACCCTGGATCTGGTTCTTGTCAGGTGCTTAGTGGTGGTTCTTTGTGTTTTTTTCCTGCCTTTGGTTATTTTGTTTTAAGATAGCTTGAAGTTAACAGGAACACTTGTGTTACTTTTGTGTATGTGCGTGTGATCATTGGCAAAAACGGAGCCATTTACACAGCATAAATCTCTTTCTGGCCTTATCTGCTGGGTGGGGAGGCAGTGCTGATCAGGGTTTGAAGTCCAGCTTTGTCAGTAACTGGCTGCTTTCGACTTTGGGTCTCAGTTCTTCTGCAAGGCAGCGAAGGGCTGGGGAGAGGTGAGCCCTTGGACCTTTTTCGGAGATAAAATACTCTGATGTGAAGGCCTGTGTTGGGAAGATGGCATTTGAATAATCCCACGATTGGCCTTTGGACAAACCAGGTTCATGGGCATTTACATCACACGCATGCTCTGACGCTTTCACCCCCCTAGGCCAGTCCACACTCACACAGCCCTCCTGCTGGTCTCAGGCAAACAGGCAAATAGATGTTAATGCTCAATGCTGCCTGTCGGTGCCACTCTAAAGATGACCTGAGAACAGCCTTTCAGCAGGTGCATCTGGCTCTGTAAAGGACCACACATAAGCAACCCCGGGAAGCCCAGAAGCCTCAGGGAAGACTGTTCAAAGGGGGTGCTTTTCTTTTCCGTAGGATAAGCAGGTCATCCATTTGCTCTTTCACCCAGATGAACTGATCGCTTATGAACTAACGAGAAGGGAAGCAGAAGTGAACAGAAGACCCCTTCCTGAGCTGGTGCGTGCCAAGATACCGTTTAGTGCCTGCCTTCAGGCCTTCTCTGAACCAGAAAACGTTGACGATTTCTGGAGCAGTGCCCTACAAGCAAAGTCCGCGGGTGTGAAGTAAGTGTGTGTGTGTGTATGTGTAGGCAGGGGGGTGAGGAGGGTCCATGAGAGGTGGGGACGGGGTAGGGGAGAGTAAGTGGGTGATATTTGAGTCTGTGTGTCTGTTCATGTGTGATGGATGGGATTATGCTTCACACATCCTAATTGTCGTCACACTTGACTTGCGTGAGACCTGCCCAGTAAAACAGGCCTGTGATTTATATTATGTGCTAAGGAGGGGCTTCTTTTTTTAAATGTAAGGTTGTGTTTTATTCTCTATTAGGAGCCTCCCTCCCTCCCTCCCTCCCTTCCTCCCTTGCCTGTCCCTGCCCCTCTCTCACCAAGAGGGTACAGCCAAGAAACAACCCCTACTCCCAAATGGCAAGGATGACATCAGAAAAACACGTAAGACAGGCCTCCAGTTAAACTCCATTGCGCTATATTTTAACTCCATAGTTAGAGACTGGGCCTAGAACATGGTTGACTGTGTGTCTCCTTGGAGTGGAGGAGACATCTCAGGACATCTCAGAGTGGATGGGAGGTCTTCTGAGCATTGTTGAAACGAGCCACCCAGGCTTTGGTCAGCTGTCCTGTTGTCATGTTGTGAGGCTGCTTGTCAGACACATACAAGTTTTTTCCTCCACTGGCCACCTTAGTTGGCTTGGTACAGTTGAGTCCTTGCCAACACCTCCAGATCACTGCCACTAACTGGCGAAAGAATGCTTACAATGCCGTGAAACAAAGGGGGGGTCTGAAAGTTTGGCTCCAGGAGTTTTGCTATGTTCAGATAATCTTGGGCTATTTTTCTTTGAGGCTAAGATTGAGCTTTTGGCTAACAGACAGGGGATTAAAGGGTGGAACAGCTGCTGTGGGCTGTTTGTACCCTGGCCTCAATAGAAGTTAATCATATATATATATCCATCATATATAAATATATATATATTTATATATACGTATATAATTATTATTTTTTTTGGAGGAGTCTCCCTCTGCCACCCAGGCTGGAGAGCGGTAGTATGATCCTGGCTCACTGCAGCCTCCACCTCCCAGGTTCAAGTGATTCTCCTGACTCACCCTCCCGAGTAGCTGGGAATGTATCACACCTGCCTAATTTTTGTGTTTATTTCTTTTAACATGGAGTCTAGCACTGCTTCCCAGGCTGGAGTGCAGTGGCGTGATCTCAGCTCACCCGCCTCCCGGGTTCAAGTGATTCTCCTGCCTCAGCTTCTTGAGTAGCTGGGATTACAGGCATGTGCCACCATGCCCAGCTAGTTTTGTATTTTTTACTAGAAATGGGGTTTCTCTTTGTTGGTCAGGCTGGTCTCGAATTCAAAACCTCAGAGGATCCACATGCCTTGGCCTTCCAAAGTGCTGGGATTACAGGCATGAGCCACTGTGCCTTGCCAATTTTTGTATTTTTAGTAGAGAGGGGGTTTCACTATTTGGCCAGGCTGGTCTCGAACTTCTGACCTCAGGTGATCTGCTCTCCTCATCCTCTCAAAGTGCTGGGATTACAGGCCTCAACCTATATTATTTGTTCTGTTTGAAACCCCTCCGTCAGGCTTCTGCTATGTTTCAGATCATAGACTTCATATGTTAAAAACAGGAAAGCAAAACAGTTTATTTCAAAAAAGGAAAACAAGCCGTATTTGTTAAAATTGTTTTTTCAAAGCTCCATATCCAAGGGAGATGAATAGCAATTCATCTGGGTATCAGTTGCCCATCACTGGGTGAGTTTCCATCCTAGGACTGCTCAGCTGCAGGTGTGGGTGGCTGTGTGTGTGTGCAGGTGTGTGCGTGTGCACATGTGCGTGGACCTGTTTGTGTCCTTGCAGATAACAGTTGGTGAGTTCTCAGGTTCAGTGTGAGAGATGCTTAATTACAACTCAGAGATAACTCTGGGCAGTTAGAGCGCTACCCTCTCTATTACTGATGGAAAAATTTAAAAAAGCCATTGACAGTAACTTAAGACTGATTCCTGCAGATTTATCCTTTCCTCTTGGTGCTTTTGTTTTGATTCCATTTTGGAGGCGGAACCTGATCGTGGACCTGGAAGCTTAGACAGCCCCCAGCATCAGGTGTAAGCTGTAGAGTGGGGTGTTCCTCACCTGCCTGGCCCTCGGCTACCCATTCTGCTCTTCAGAAAAGGGCCTGGTGTCTTAGAAGTGCAGGTGTGACACTCTCTGGGCCTGCCTCTCCCTGTAAGTGTCCTGCCAGGAAGCAGCCTTTCAACACCTGGAAATGGCTTGTCTTTAAGATGGGGACTGAGAGGCACGAGCTCTCCACAGACAGGCAGACTCCCTGAGCCCAAGGCTGTGGTCAGGAGACCTGGACTCTTCTCCTGTGTCCACTTCCCACCTTATCTTCTGTCCTGGGGCAAAGTCACTGCCCAGTGTCCTTCCGTCTGGAATGGAGTAATGATCTTGCCCCTGAGTCTCTCAGCAGTTGTAGGCAGTGGGAGCCTATCTACCTAGAATCCTTGAGGAGGGGTTTCTGCTTCCTGCGGCTCCTACGAGGACCTTTTTCCTTTTCCTTTCTGTCTTCACGCACCTCTTCCATACATGAGAAGAGTTAGTGATGGGGTATCCATTTGTTAGCGGTTGGAAACTGGTCCTTGTGGGAGAGAAAAAGACAGTGTTAAAGGCAATAAAGCAGCTGCATTTATGGCACGTCTGCTGCCGCTGGGTCGTGTGCTAAGCCCTCCCATCAGTTACATATTGCATCCTCTTAGTTGTCTGAAGTAGGTAGCATTATTTTCTCATTTTATGAGGGAAGAAATGAAAGAAGTCATTGGCCAGTAAGTGGCAGACACGGGATTCATTCCCGTCTGACTGAGTTCAAACTCTAAACACCGGTTATCAGGCCCCCCACACTCCTGGTCATGCTTGCTTATCCTTACATTTTTATAGAGCCTTGCTTTTTATATTTTTTCTTTCTTTTATTTTTTTGAGCTGGGGTCTCACTCTGTTGCCCAGATTGGAGTGCAGTGGCACGATCTCAGCTCACTGCAACCTCCACCTCCCAGGTTCAAGCGGTTCTTCTGCCTCAGCCTCCCAAGGAACTGGGACTACAAGTGTGTGTCACAACGCCCGACTATTTTTAGTATTTTTAGTAGCAATGGGGTTTCACCATGTTGGCCGGGATGGTCTCGATCTCTTGACCTCGTGATCTGCCTGCCTTGGTCTCGCAAAGTGCTGGGATTACCAGCGTGAGCTGCCGCACCCAGCCAAGAGCCTTGCTTTTTCTTTATTATGATTTATCATGTTCCAAATATTAGTTTTGAGAAAACCAGTTCAGTGGGTTTCTAAGAGATCTTATTTTTATTTCCAGCAGTGTAGGCTGTGATTCCATCTACATTTTGTTAATCTGGGGCCTTGGGTTTTTCTTTGTTACACCCAGAGCCTGAAAAGAGCAGGAAGAGGCAAAAAGTATCCTAAAGCTCTTGGTGGAACTTGCATCAGATGGGCCAGACATAAAGACCTTTCTCTTAAATGATCATGAGCAGATCGTGTGTGGGAAGAATATTAGTGCTTGGAAGGTTCATTCACCCAGCAAATATTATTGTTCACTTAGCATATTCTAGGCAATGGGTTGATCAAGACCTCATTCCTGCCCTCAGACAGCTCACAGATGAAGAGTTGAGAGGGAGAGATTTTTACTTATCCACCATCATTTATAAAGAGAAAAGCTTGGTGTGGGGTTGTACAGCGCAGACTCCAGGTGGACGCCCTGTGTTCAAACGCCCCGTCTAGAACTTACTGGTGTGTGACCTTGGCTAGGTGATGTCGCCGTCAGCTCCTGCTTCCCTGTCTACAAAGTGGGGATAATAACGGCACTTTCTTTGCAGGGCTGGGGTGAGGATTAAGGGAGATGAGCCATATAAGGAGCTTCACATGGGGCAAATACAGGACGGAATTATTATTTCCATTATATTTAGCTTTCAGTTTTTCATCTTTGATGATATAATTTGAGTGAGGTGGATTGATGATTATGTTTTCAACAAGTAGACGGGGTAAGATTTTTTTTTTTTTTTTTAGTTAGGTTTTCAATACAGTTGACAATGTCAGGGAGAGGGATAGTTTATGTTTCTTTCTCAACAAAATCTTTATCGTATTTTTGCCTTAATTGTAACTGGTGAACAGTCAATATATTTTAAATAATGCAGACAGGTTGTTACCAGACACCACAGTGCTCTTGCTGGGACCTCTTCTAAGCACTTTATGTCTTAACTCATTTAATTCCCGTAATAGCTCTTCCAAGTAAATTTGCTGTCTATTTAGATCTCTTTGAATGATTTACATTCTACTGGTCTTTATTAAAAACATATTATTTCCAAGGGCATTTTAATTCCAGAAATTAATTTTAGGAATAAAAGAATAAGCTGAGCATAATTTTTAACTTTGCTAGATGTGACTACTTGATGCCCTCAACCTGCAATAAATGAATGCACAGCCTAACTTTTGAGATGGATTTGAACAGATGCATACTGAACAGTTGCTACATGTGAGTGCTTCAACTTGAGACCCTATAGAGGTTACGAAGACGAATAAAGAATGTTTTGCCTGACAGGGCAAATATAATTTGAACACCGTTAAATCTGCTTTCTGGTGCTTTTAGGTTGGCTGTTCCCCATGACACAGTGATGTGTTAAATCATCCCTTCCCCAAGCTTGAGTTGTTCCACTACCCTACTGTGGTGTCACAGCTGACATCCTACCTCGATCCCACAGAGCAGTTTCAAGTCTCAGGGGTCCGGAGTCATATTTTGGAAATTATTGATTTGCCAGTGTCTTTTGGTTGATTTCACTGTTACGTATTTTCCACATTTTATGCTAATGTGGTAGGAAGAGGAGGTCAGAAAAATAACATTTTTACATTAGTTAAAATATCATGGCTGGGTGCGGTGGCTCATACCTGTAATCCCAGCACTTTGGGAGGCTGAGGCGGGTGGGTCACCTGAGGTTGGGAGTTCGAGACCAGCCTGGCCAACGTGAAGAAACCCTGTCTCTACTAAAAATACAAAAAGTAGCCAGGCATGGTAGTGGGCACCTGTAATCCCAGCATTTTGGGAGAGTGAGGCAGGAGAATCGCTTGAACCCAGGAAGTGGAGGTTGCAGTGAGCCTAGATCACCCCATTGCACTCCAGGCTGGGCAATAAGAGCAAAACTCCATCTCAAAAAAAAAAAAAAATTATAATACCAGATGGAGTTGGTTGTTTTCTGGTGCAGTTGAGGACTTGGTGACATTTAAATAAGAATGGTGTTTATTACTGCTTCTCAGAAGATAGCAAAACCTAATTAGAGGTAATATGTAATTTTTGGAGAGTGAGCCTGGCCAGTAGTAGGTTAGTTGCTTGGGATGAGAAAGCTCCTGTTTTCTGAACGTCTTTTTTATTATTGCCTTTACTCTTCTACCAACTTTGTAATGGAGAATTTGAGATACAGAGAATTTAAAGAACTTGCCTGGGGCAAAATACAGATCAGTGCCAGTTCAGTTCAGCATCCAAGGCTTCATAGCTTCTAGGTCTTCCACGGCAAAGTAATCATGCTAATTCCTTGGGTATACACAATGCTTTCTAGGGTACCAGGTGAGTTCACATCATTTCATGAACGTCGCCTGGCCTGGCAGGCAGATATGATTAAGTCCATTTTGTAGACGGATTGGGCGGGTCAGTGGATCGCCCAGATGTGGAGTGAATGAAGTGCCCACATCCACGTCCTCTGACTTTTGTCCCATGTTCTGTCCCTGTGTTGTGCCTTTTCTCTGACACTAGGGGGCAGCAAACACTTGCATTTGTTTTCGAAGTTCTGGGACGATGCATCACAAACAGAAGGCAATGACTTAGATTTGAAAAGTGGGATGGGGAGGATATTCTAGAATTTTTTATTTTAAAAGGTATCTGTGATACCTACCAACAGCTCATTTTCTTATTTATATTACTCACCACACCCCCATTGACTACACACAGAAATGGTTGTTAAAAACATGCTGGTAAGTGTGGAGTGAATGAGCTGGAACTCGGGTGTGAGTCTGGTGTACGAGCTGAACAGTCTGGGTATGAGATGGCCGAATCCATGCCCAGGCAATGGAGCCTTTCTGAAAGTCTGAACACAGTTCAAGAGACTGCTGATGTGTATTAATTTTAAACTTCACGGCCCAGATTCAGATGTTTTGGATACTTACTTAGAATATGCTATGGGTTAGGCACTGCAGTATTTTAATGAGGCCCTGGCATTTCCAGTAGTCAGCCTCAACCAGAGTTTCTGTCAGCCCTTTGTCTGCCAACTCTGGGCTGTAAGACAGTGACTCTGTGTGGAAGAGGAGGTGGGGTGTTTCAGTGTCACCCGGGGAGCCTTTCCAAACCCCACATGCATATATGCAACGCATGCATGTCATCAACAGTTTAAAAATATGTATACTAAATTTTAGCAAGGATTTCAGAAAAAATAAATGGTTAAAAAGCACTTTTCAGAAATATAAAACACCACAGCAAAGTAAAAGTAACAATTTTGAAACAGGTCTAAAAGCATTCTTTTTTTTTTTTTTTTTTTTTTTTAATGAGACAGAGTTTTGCTCTCTTGCCCAGCCTGGAGCGCAGTGGTGCAATCTCAGCTCACTGCAACCTCCACCTCCTGTGTTCAAATGATTCTCCTGCCTCAGCCTCCTGAGTAGATGGGATTACAGGCATGCCCCACCACGCCTGGCTAATTTTTGTATTTCTAGTAGAGATGGGGTTTTGCCATTTTGACCATACTGGGCTCAAACTCTTGACATCAGGTGATCTGCCCACCTCGGCCTTCTGAAGTTCTGGGGTTACAGGTGTGAGCCACTGTGCCTGGCCCCAAAAGCATTCTTAAAGGACAACATTCTACATTAAACATTTTCTTCTTGTGAAAAGGCCAGGACCAGTGAGCAGGCGAGAGCGAGTGTGTGTCCACTTACGTGTCTGTGTCTGCGTGTTCTGCCTCTTCACTTCAGCCATTGGAATGGCCAGGTGTGCCTCAGACAAAGTTAATGTGCTTTTTGAACTGTATTCACAATTCTTACTGCCTTGTTTCATTGATATGTCCCCTTGTGTTTCCCAGAACATCTCGCTTTGCCTCATTCCCCGAATACTTGGTAGTACAGATAAAGAAGTTCACTTTTGGTCTTGACTGGGTTCCCAAAAAATTTGGTAGGTATCTTTTGCATGCTTTTGCTTAAAACATCAAATGAGTTATTTAAACAACATGGCATGTGAAAGAGCCCATGTAGTCCGCTGCCACAGACAGCTCCATTTCATTCTCCATCACTCCCACCTTTCTGTTTTGAACTGGGGTATATGATAAGAACTGGCGGCAAACATTGCCGCTGCTTACCCAGCCCTCCAGTTACGGCGGCTTCTGGAATGACCGGATTCTGAGAGTGTAAACAGAATCCTCACGTCGTCAGGAAAACAGCACTTTCCAGACTTTCACGTGCATAGGAATTACCTGGGATCTTGGTGAAATGCAGACGCAGATTAGGCAGGTCTGGGGTGGGCCTGCGATCCTGTGTTTCTCACAAGCTCCCACGTGCTGCTGGTGCTACTGGTCCACAGACCGCGCTTTGGGCAGCCGGTAGCTGAAGATGCTCTCTCCTCCTAGCGTCTCTCCTCTGCGTGTGAGCAGGCAGGCATGGCTAATGACATTCACGTACATCACACACATGTTATTAATAATAAAATAGAAAAAGCCAGTGGCCTTAGACAGTTAAAATAAAGGACATGATTTTGGGTTCATTAGGCTTTCTTTGTGCTGATTTTACAGATTCCTGACCATTGCTGGAGGTTAGTTTTCCAGACAGTGCATCAAAGCCTTTCTCCAGCATTATGATCTAATACAAAGGGCATTACTAGGTTGTCCTCAGTGGTGTGGAAGAACGTACCATTTCTCAAGCAAGTACTTTGGATTATTTGCCAGTCTTTTAAAGTTTTTATGTTTTTAAGTACCTAAGAAAAAACCCAACTCAGTCTTACCCTGATTCAGCACTTGTCTGAAGGGGATAGTTAAAAAGGATGTGGAATCGGCTGGAGTGGCTTCCTAGAGACCTTCAGCGCTAGCAGTTACACAGCACTTGTTTGCCACGTGGAATTGTGCTGGGCTGTCACGGTCCTGCAGGAGGTACCCCTTTCTTGGCAGAAGAGTTTTATGAGCAGCACAAGGCAGAGGGCAGGAGGCTGACCACTCAGCTTTTCTTCCACGGGCCTGAAAAGTGCCCGAGAGAAAAAAACTCTCTTGCTCTGAAGGCTTCGAACCGCCTTGGACACGGTTTGCTTATTTTCTTTGTCCTTGGAATTTCTGTAACGGAATATAAAATTTGAATCAGATTTCATCGACTTGCTGCATTTTAAGGAGCTCGAAGTTTTATTTTATGAACCTGGATTTTTCTCTTCAGGAGCAGTCATGTTGATTTCCTTGGTCAGTTTTTACGTTTGGTTTCGCTACCCCCTGAAATTTAAATTTCTTTTTAAATTAAGCTTTGTTCTTTGGGTTGTTGTTTTAAAATAGGATTTATGTACCTTGCCTCATAACTGATTTTGGGGACAGTATTTTCAGATTGTTTACTAGCCCAAAAGGTGTATCTCATACCAACATTTGAACCCATTTTTCATTAATATACGCATCTTGACAGGGTATTAGTCTGAGAAATTTTGTATTTGAATAAGCCTACACAACAGTGGAGCCAAGAAGTTAACACACGCACTTGTAGAGATACCGCACTTGAGAGTCCGTTAATTTCTTTAAAATTCATTGTTATTCAAACTGTAGAATATCCACAGCACCATCATGATCTGAGAATGACTTGCATCATCACATGGGATTGCAAACCCAAATCCCTAACAAGGGCAGGGTAATTAATAATCGAAAGGGAAGAAGTGGGCTGAGGGTAGGAAGCTCGTAGCTACCTTGGCCGTCTCAGGTATTCCCGTTGTGAATAAAGAGATGCGCTAGAAAAACTGCTGTAAGAATCAGACCGAGGCTCAGGGAGCGACGGGGCCCTGGGGTGTGTGTCAGACTCGCATTGCCCGTTGTCTGGGGTAGAAACTGAAGATCTGCTCCAGACGGGTGTTACTTTGGGAGAATATGCAACAGCTTTACGCTTTTCCCAATAAGCTGGAAATCTAACTTTTAAATCTTCTGATTTAAAAATTAGAATCTGTCATCAACACTTTTAAAGTATCGAACAGATTGTGACCTCAGGCTCAAGTGATGCACTCTCGTTGGGTGTGAAATCCTGCCCCCCACTGTACTCCCCGGGTTCTCCACTGATGCCCCACCAGTCTTCACAAGTCTGCTGGTTGAGAGACGTATTCTAGGGAGTTGAAAACATCCCTTGGCTCTGCCTAGACGCGTGCATGTAGTCCCCATGCTGGTGCTATAACAAGGTGACTGTGGACAGCCCCGCGAGTGTGATCTTTCTCCTTTTGCAGATGTTTCTATTGATATGCCAGACCTGCTTGATATCAACCACCTCCGAGCCAGGGGGTTGCAGCCGGGAGAGGAGGAACTTCCAGACATCAGCCCCCCCATCGTCATTCCCGATGACTCCAAAGGTACCATCTCCTGCCAGGAGAACACGCTCGACCCTCACACCGTGTCCTCTAGGAACACTCTCCCTTTCAGCACTCTGTTGCTGCTGCCACCACCCACGGGGCGTCTGGCTGCCCTCCTGTGATGTAACCCCTGCCCCCCCAGCACACTGCAGCAGGAAACATAAAATAGACATTGCAAGAGGCACAGACCCATCATAAGTGGTGGAAATGGACAGTGTTTTTCTGTAGGGTCTTAGTCTGGGAAGCTGTGTCATTGCATACTTGGGAATACCTTTGGACAACCCGAAGGGGAAATTCAACAGTATGAGTTGGTTTTAAAAATCGTGATGGCATCTCAACTCCCCAACTCTGTTACTGTTTTGGAGAAAGGAAGAGGTTTGAGTTTCTCTTTGACTTTGTGACCCTGTCACTGGTCACTGTTCAGAATACATAACTTTTTCGTGGAAAAAGACATGCCAGAAATAGTTGCCTCACCTTTGTGGGTTCAAAAACAGTGTCAGGAAAATCTTGGTTTAATTATTAGCTCAGTTATCCTGATTGACTCAGTTTCATTCTGGCTTTGTTCGCTCGCCCGCTTACTGTCATCTGCCTGGTGGGTTACTCAGGTAAATTAACTCGCAACGACCGAGCAAACAGTCAGTGTTATTGCTCAGCATGATCAGGTATAAAGGAAGTGCAAGGTGAGTCTAGAAGGTACAGGATGGATTCAGATAGACGTCTGTGTATGTTCTCTGATGTTGGCTCAGATGCTAAGTCATAGAGAGAGAGTTAGAGAAGGGACGTTCTAGGTCACAGAGTTCAGGTGGTTCATTAAGGGGGTTGAGGAAGGATCAGCATCAGATAAACACAGGATGGCTCATTAGTGCTGCTCCGGCTCTCTCTGATGCTCATAATAGAATCTTCGGATTGTAGTTACATAAAGCTCTTAGAAATACAGACAGAGGCTGGATACAGTGGTGCACACCTGTAATCCCAGCACTTTGGGAGGCTGAGGTGGGAGGATCACTTGAGCCCAGGAGTTCAAAACCAGCCTGGTTAGTATAGTGAGATACTATCTCTGCAAAAAATAAAAAATTTAAAAATTAGCTAGGCGTGGTGACTGGTGACATGTGCTTGTAGTTCCAGCTACTCAAGAGGCTGAGTCAGGAGGCTCACCTGAGCCCAGGAGGTTGAGGCTGCAGTGAGCCACAATTGCTGCCCCACCCTCTGGCCTGGGCAGCAGAATGAGACCCTGTCTCAAAAAAAAAAGTTTTTTTCAAGAAGAAGTAATAGGGAGGTAATAGGGAAATGGTAGTTTGTTCAGATAATGATCGGAGCGTCGTGTTGTAACTGACCTAATGCCTGAAAGCTATTGCTTTCTCTCCTCACTGAGGCTGGGGCGGTCTGTGTGGGGTTGTGGGATTGACAGCAGTGTGTAGCTCCCCAGGAGTGGGGAGGGCACGGGGGGTACCCTGGATACAGCAGGTTTTCTTTTCCTAAATCTTCTCATTTTCTGTCCTCTCCCTTAATTTCCAGATCGCCTGATGAACCAACTGATAGACCGTATGTATCTTTAAAAATGTTTCTCAAGTCTTACTGTTATTAATCTGATGAACCTGTGTGTGAGAGTTCAGTACAGAGCCATTGTTCTGTACATCTGTATGTGCTGCTTTTCCCGGGTGGGAACGATTCTCTGTCCCCTAGTCAGTGACTTGCTGATCAGGTGGCCTGTGGGGCTCAGGAGAGTGACCATTAGCATGAGGCTAAGCAGTGGGTCAGAATCTTGGCCCGCCATTCCAGTTTTTCTCCTCTTTTGGTATAATTTGAGAGCAGTGTGTACGTGTCTGTATCCGTATGTATGCACAGATTCACACACATCTCTACAAGTATCTATATGTTATTAACAAAAGGAAACAAAGCTCTTTGTGTCTGAGCCTAAGTTACTTGGTAAATCTGTCTCTCAGTGTTTTAGACTTGCATAATTAAACAAGGAACTTTTTCCTTCTATACTTAACATTTGAACTCTCCATCTCCCAGAGCTGACTGCTTCCTGTGATTGCAGATGGATGTAAAGGCCTGCAGTGACTTTCTGTGAGGTTTAAGGAACAGGCTTTATTGGCTATAGATGGTGCTTTCTCTTCAAGTTTCAGCCACAGGAGAGGCTGCTGGAGAGGTGTTGAGGATGCTCTGAAATCGTTTCGGAATTGTTTTTCTCTAATTTCCTATGGGGAGATTTAGTGTATTGCCAGATTGGATTGTCCAGATAATTAACCTGGGTCCTATTTGGGTCAAAGATATAAACTTAGCCCAAATAGCTTAATATTTGGATGGCTTACAACAAAACTAAACAGTGAAACCGTTATTTACACCCAAGAAAACAGCGCTTTCTTTGGGTAGTGTGTGGATGAGAGCGTGATGAGCAGCTACGACAAGAAGCAATAGTGTTTCCTTTTTCACACTAGCCTGTCCTGTTGTGCTCTGTAGCATCAGACATTGATGAGTCATCAGTGATGCAGCTGGCCGAGATGGGTTTCCCTCTGGAAGCATGTCGCAAGGCTGTGTACTTCACTGGAAATATGGGCGCTGAGGTGGCCTTCAACTGGATCATTGTTCACATGGAAGAGCCAGGTAGGTGGCGGGAAAACGGAATGGCTTTGGAGTGTGACGTGACCCTCAGTGATGCTACGTCCTGGTCCTTCCCTGGCCCCTGTGGATGTATCCCTAGAAAATGACTTTACAGTTGCTCATCTGCTGCAGCGGGGGGAGAAAGCTAGTCTTTGTCTTTCTCCTTTTGTTAAAAACAACAGCTTTATTGAGATATAATTCACCCCTTTAAAGTGTGTAAGTCAGTGGCAAGAAGACCAATAGAAAGATTTGGGGTGTGCTTCTAAGAAATGCTGAGAACTTGAAAGCATGGACATGAAGAAATGGAGGCTGTTTAGTTAGCTTTTTCTTTTATCTACGTTTTTAGGCTATAATGCATATATTCATTTATGGGGTACATTCCAGTGGTTTTTAGTAAATTCAGAGTTGTGCAGCCATGACCACTATCTAACTTTAGCACATTTTGTACCCTCTAAAAGAAACCTCGTGTATTAGCAGTCACTCCCCATTTTCCCACTCACCCTGGGAATCTGTTTTCTGGATCAAGGGATCTGCCTGTTTTGGACATTTCGCATAAATGGAGTCATATATATGAGATCTTTTGGGTTTGGTCTCTATCACAGCGTAATGTTCTCAAGATTCATCCATTTGTCGCATGTGTCAGTACTTTATTCCTTTTTATGGTAAAATAATATAGTCTATTGGGCTGGGTGTGAAGGCTCACACCTGTAATCCCTGCACTTTGGGAGGCTGAGGCAGGTGGATCACTTGAGATCAGGAGTTCAAGAGCAGCCTACTCAACATGTGAAACTCCATCTCTATTAAAAATGCAAAAATTGGCTGGGGATGGGGATGGGGGCAGGTGCCTGGAGTCCCAGGTACTTGGGAGGCTGAGGCAGGAGAATTGCTTGAGACCAGGAGACGAGCTGAGATTGCACTACTGCCCTCCAGCCTGGGCAACAGAGCAAGACTCTGTAAATAATAAAAAAATAATAATAGTCTGTCGTATGGATATACTACATTTTATTAATCTTTATCAGCTTATAGACATTTGGGTTATTTACATTTTTTGGCTTTTATGAACAATGCTGCTATAAAGATTTTTGTACAAGTTTTTGTGTGGATGGACATTTATTTTTACTTCTCTTGAGTGGAACTGCTGTGTCATATGGTAACTCCATATTTCACTTTTTGAGGAAGTACCGAACTGTTTTACACAGAGGCTGAAGCGTTTTACATTTCCACCGGTGAGGAATGTGAGATCCAGTTTCTCTGTATCAGCCCAACCCTTATGATCACATTTTTTAGCATACCCCTCCCAGTGTGTGTGAGGTGGTTTGCATTTTCCCGACGGCTATGACGCTGAGCATCTTTCCGTATGTTTGCTGACTGTGTGTCTTATTTGGAGATGTGTCTATTCAGATCCTTCATCCATTTCTAATGAAGTTATTCTTTTATTGTTGGTTCTAAGAGTTCTCTTCATATTCTGGATGCAGGTTTCTGTGAGACTTACGATTGGTAATTTCCCCCATTCTGGTGTTTTTCACTTTCCTGATGGGATCCTCTGAGGCACAAAAAATTTAAACCATTTTTAAAAACTTTTTTCTTTTATCACTTGTGTTTTTTGTATTGTAAATAAGAAACCATTGCCTAGTCCAATGGCAAAAAGATTTACTCCTATGTTTTCTTCTGCGGTGATCATGGTTTTAGCTCCTACATTTAGGTCAGTGGTCCATTTTGGGTTGATTGTGTGTGTGATGTGAGGTGAGGTCTGACTTTATTCTTTTGTATGTGGATATCCAGTTGTCCCAGCATCATTTGTTGAAAATAATGTCCTTTCTCCACTGAGTGGTCTTGTTGAAAATCAGTTAACCACAGGTATATACTTTTATTTCTGGGATCTCCGTTCTGTTTGACTGATATGTGTGTCTGTCTTTATACCAGCATCAGACTGTCTTTTTTTTTTTGAGACAGAGCCTCGCTCTTTTGCCCAGGCTGGAGTGCAGTGGTGCGATCTCGGCCACTGGCTCACTGCAACCTCTGCCTCTGGGGTTCAAGTGATTTTTCCTAAGTAGCTGGATAACAGGCATGCACCACCACGCCCTGCTAATTTTTGTATTTTTAATAGAGACGGAGTTTTGCCACATTGGCCAGGCTTGTCTCCAACTCCTGACCCCAGCTGATCCACCCACCTTGGCCTCCCAAAGTGCTGGGCTGACAGGTGGGAGCCACTGCGCCCGGCCCAGACTGCCTTGATTATTATAAATTTGTAGACTCATGTTTTTTCTTGTTTGTGTTGCTTCAGTACAAAAAATAAGAAAGGAAAAGACTTGAGTGTGGTTATCTTCCTCAGATTTTGCTGAACCGCTGACCATGCCTGGTTATGGAGGGGCAGCTTCTGCTGGAGCCTCTGTTTTTGGTGCTGCTGGATTGGATAACCAGCCTCCAGAGGAAATCATATCTATCATCACCTCCATGGGATTTCAGCGGAATCAGGCTATCCAGGCACTGCGAGCAACGGTGAGCATGAGACTGTGAGTGTGTGTGTGTGTTGTGTGTGTGTGCACATGTGTCAGTGTATGTGTGTGTGTATGAGTGTGTATGTGAGTGTATGAGTATGTGCACGTGTGTATGTGAGTGTGCGTGTGTATGAGTGTGTGGTATGTGTGTATGAGGTGTATGTGTGGTGTGTGTATGAGGTGTACCTATGTGTTGTGTGTGTGAGGTATATGAGTGTGTGTGAATGTGTGTATGTGTGTGTCAGTGAATGTGTATGTCTGTGTGTGCATGAGTGTGTGTGAGCATGTTTGTGTGAGGGGTGTGAGTGAATGTGTATATGTGTGTCTGTGTGTGAATGTGTGTGTGTGTGAGCATGTTTGTGTGAGGAGTATGTGAGTGAATGTGTATGTGTGTGTGAGCATGTTTGTGTGAGGGGTGTGTGAGTGTGTGTGAGCATGTTTGTGTGGGGTGTGTGAGTGAATGTGTATGTCTGTGTGTGCATGAGTGTGTGTGAGCATGTTTGTGTGAGGGGTGTGTGAGTGAATGTGTGTATGTGTGTGTGTGAGTGAATGTGTATGTCTGTGTGTGCACGTGTGTGAGTGTGTGTGTGAGCATGTTTGTGTGAGGGGTGTGTGAGTGAATGTGTGTATGTGTGTCTGTGTGTGCGAGTGAATGTGTATGCGTCTGTGTGCATGTGTATGTGAGTGTGTGTATGTGTGTACGAGTGTGTGTGCTGTGTGTGTATGAGGTGTATGAGTGTGTGTGAATTTATTTCTGTAGCAGTTGAGACTTTCCAGTGTACTTTGATCATTTTGATTCATGTTGAACTTGTCTATGAATCTCACCATAGCCCATAAAGATTTATTCGTATATCGTACACATAAAGTTAAAATAAATAATTTTCACACAGAGAATTTAAGAATAAGGCGATAATATGAGCAAATCAAGAGAAACTTGTTATCACCTTAAATGTTTGTTAATAGCGGGTCACAGATTTGACTGGGAGCCTGCTTGTGGCCCTAGGGGAAAGAGGGACGCCTGAAATCCATGCTCAGTAAGAAGTCCTTTAAGAGATGTAATGCTTTTCTGAGACCAAGACCTTGGATAAATGTCGCTTAAAAGTCCTCATACAAGACTGAATGCCTCCTTGGAATTCTCTGCTGCATTTTCTCCCTGTAGAAAGAGAAGGTTCTTCTGGTAGTTGTGAGCTTCTTGATTCAAGAAACAAGGGACCCTGAAACGTTAGGGTAGGCGATTCCCTTCTGTGGTGCTGATATCTATTTAATATTCAGAGAAAGTACTTAAAAAACCCATCCTTTCATCTTCTAAGTCTTAGTGGGAAAAAAAAAGAAAAAAACTAAACCCAAAACGAAAACCAAAAAAAAACCTGTCCTTCCTGGTCACACCATTATCCACTTTTGAGTAGATATCTGGTCTCAACCACTTCTTGCCTATCCTGATGGAGTGCCTGCTGGGATCCGTTGCTGAGGTCACTGTGGCTCTTGACTGTCTCATGAGAATGTGGCTAGAACAATCTGTCTCCCTTTCAGATGCTTAAAATATCTCAACTGGAGTTTGTTTTGCTTGGGGTCCTTTCTTGTGCTCCACTCATTTTATCTGCCTGTTTCATTAGAGCTTCTGTATCTATACAAATTCTTTAACCTGCCAGTGATATCACAAGCTGAGAAAGATGGAAATATTTTTATGGCCAATTAGTTTGAAGTACAAGGAGAGTCCAGTTTAAACAATTACACTTAACTAATCAGTGTTGTCATTAATCAAGACGTTAATCTTGTCTTTACCGCAGTTCAACCATTTAACCAACATTCCCGGAGAGAAGGCCTCATGCAGTCCTCACAGCGGCCTCCCTCTACCATGCAAAAATATCTGCAGAAAATACAGTTGGTAGGGAAGGTACCCTTGGTTACCCCACACCTATCATGATCAGCATCTTCCTCAGAAATGCTGGGCTAACGTTGATATAGGCTTTGGGACACTGATGTGCTGCTTAGACTCTTTTCCAGTGAATCCAATTACAGATGTCAGCGGGAGACTTGCGGAATGCCAGGCCAGCGGAATGTGCACGTCATGCGGAGTCAGAGCTTCTCACGCAGTGGCACTGAGGACCAGTGAATTCAGGCCTCCTTCCCTGTCTGCGTGACATCTAGTTGACATGGTCAGGACACAGTGAGGCCTGAGGCTGCGTGCATCGTAAAAACGCATGTTTCTCTTTTGTTGCTAGAATCACAGCCTGGAAAGAGCACTGGACTGGATCTTCAGCCACCCTGAGTTTGAAGAAGACAGTGATTTTGTGATTGAGATGGAGAATAACGCCAATGCAAACATTATTTCTGAGGCCAAGCCTGAAGGACCCAGAGTGAAGGATGGACCTGGAAGTAAGTGCTCGCCTTAGAGGCCGTCTAGCAGTCACTACACATCCAGCTCACGCCCTTCCGTCCACCTATTCAAGCCTTTGCCGTCATTCCAAAGTTAGCACAGAGCCTGTCTTCTTGGAAATGGTGCCACTTGCCCCTTTGCATAGGCCCTGGGGATCTGGTAAAGTCATGTCACAGTCATGTTGCTTGGTCGCGTGTGTGCCTAAGTTTAGGGCCAGCTTTGACCTTGTTCCGTTGAGGTAAAATTTCTTCATGGACTGTGGGAGCTTTTGTCAAAAGAGAACATGTGTTTTCATGGTAGTGTTTTTGAGTGGTAGTAAAGTATTCTCATCCTTGACTGGACCCTTACCAGAACCAACGCTGAGAGTATTCTGAGGGGTTGTCTCAGGATGACAGGAGGAGGTGCCGCAGGCCATTGCTGTGCCTTTTGTTTTTTAAGACTCAGTCTTACTCTTGTCGTCCAGGCTGGAGTGCAGTGGCACGATCTCAGCTCACTGCAACCTGTGCCTCCCGGGTTCAAGCGATTATCCTGCCTCAGCCTCCCGAGTAGCTGGGACTACAGGTGCCTGCCGCCATACCCAGACAATTTTTGTATTTTTAGTAGAGATGGGGTTTCACCATGTTGGTCAGGCTAGTGTCAAACTCCTGACCTCAGGTGATCCACCCGCCTCAGCCTCCTAAAGCGCTAGGCTGACAGGTGTGAGCCACCATGCCAGCCTGTTCTACCTTTTAATATCAAACACTTATGCATGTCACTATGTGTCACACAGTGTTCTAAGCACTTTGCATATCAATACTCACGTAACCCTCACTACAGCTGATTTTACAGGTGAGAAAATAGAGGCACAGAGAGATTGGGTACCTTGCCAAAGGCCACACAGCATGTAAGAGATGGAGCCAATATTCAAACCCAGAACTGCACTCTTAACTGTTGCGATATCCTGCTTCTTGGGCTGTCATTGCCTACGGAGTGACGCTCAGGCTCTTTGTCTTGGCGCCCAGCACCTCCTGCAGTCAGATCCCAGCCCAGCTGGTTTCCCAGGGACACCTCTACACTCCCTGTATCTGCAGCTGGGGTGCCCAAGACTGTAGCCGCATTCTTGGCCTACTCAGCCCTCAGCAGCTCTCTTCCACTTACCTGCGGGTTGGCCCTATGTGTGAAACGAGCTTTCTCTCCCTTCACTGCCTGCTGAAATTCTCATCATTGCTTGGAACTGGGCCACGGATTCCATTTCTCTGGACTGCCTTCCCAGGGCCTTGCCATAGTCAGCTCATGCTCACCTCGTGTGCTGGTGTAATTGTGCCAGTATGAAAAATGCGCAGTGGCTCACGCCTGTAATCCCAGCACTTTGGGAGGCTGAGGCAGGTGGATCACGAGGGCAAGAGATCGAGACCATCCTGGTCAACATGGCGAAACCCCGTCTCTACTAAAAATACAAAAAATTAGCTGGGCACGGTGGCACACACCTGTAATCCCAGCTACTCGGGAGGCTGAGGCAGGAGAATTGCCTGAACCCAGGAGGCAGAGGTTGTGGTGAGCCGAGATCGCGCCATTGCACTCCAGCCTGAGTAACAAGAGCAAAACTCCCTCTCAAAAAAAAAAATGATTTCATCTGTGCCGTCCTCAGTCCTCACAGTAACCTCAGGTGGCACATCCCATTATTATGCCCATTTTACAGGGGAAGAACCTGAGACAGAGAAGGTTAAGTAGAAACTTGTCAAGGTCACAGAGCTGGTGATGGGTAGAACCAGAATTCCAGGGTGGGCAGTCTGCCTCCAGAGCCTGTGTCTGTAGCCACTGTAATGCGTTGTTAGTTCTTTTTTTTTTTGAGACAGTCTCACTCCATCACCCAGGCCAGAGTGCAGTGGCACAGTCTTGGCTTACTGCAACCTCTACCTCCCAGGTTCAAGAGACTCTCATGTGTTGGTCTCCCGAGTAGCTGGGATCACAGGTGCCGGCCACCATGCTTCATTGTTAGACCTAACACATCGACCTTGTAATAAAATTACTTCTGTAGATGTCGGTGCCTCCCATTTGACTAGGAGCTTGCCCAGGGCAGAGGTCATTTGACTTTTATAGAACTCGTGGTGCTAGTCACATAGTAACATTGTATTTAACTACGTCCACATTAGCAGCATTGTTCCTGTAATCATATAGTGGCAGATCTACTCAGTAACAAACGTTCCTTCCAGACCTGAGGTGTACATATTGACATAAAACTAGAGAGAGAGGGTAGGAGGGAAACTTTCTCCTTTTAAAAAAAAAAAATTTTAAATAGGAATTTTATCACTGAAACTGTTTCACTGCCAACTGCATAAAAAAAGGATGAGGTGTGCTTCTCCCAGTTTCCATATTCATTTAAAGTATCTTGTATTACTTTCCAGAAATTACTAGCTTGCCTAAAATATTTAAAGGTGTAACAGACAGGGTGCTCAATAATTCATGAGCAGGATTTATTATGTATCACATGTCCATCAGTTCACTGCTTCATTGATTTTCCATAATGGACTCTTCTTTGGCGAGGATGAGTCCTTCTTGCAGAAGGAATTAGCCACAAGATGGGGCTGCTATAAAGCTTGCCGAGGTTTGGCTGCAGAGGGAAGGCGGATCTGATCGTCAGGGCTCCCTTTCTTCCGATGGAGCTTGGAGGCTCCAGCCACTCCCTCACAGACGGTCAGGAATGTTGGGAGCCCCATCATCTCCTCTGGGCTTACTCTGCCTCCGAGAGGGAGCTCTGCAGAGATTCCCGTGTCATTGGTTAGATGCTGTGAAGCACCCTTTAAGGCACTATGGGTGAAAGCCCAGGGACTGCGGGTGAGGGTTGTGCTGGAGCACTGTGAGACGTGCTTAGAGAAATCACGTGCCAGAGATGCAGGATATAAAGGCAGTAGCCAGTGAAACACTCAGTTATAAAGACAGAAAAGCAGAGCCCTAAGCTGCCAAATGCATTTTGAGTTTGATTTTACAGAACAACAAATGTTTTCCAAGTAGCTTCCCCAGCACTGTGCCTGGCCGGTGGTAAGTGACCAGCAGGTAACTGATTGAATGAAGAATTGAGTGACTGCCAGGAGGTAACCATCCCAGAGAGTATTTTGCTGCTTCCACAGAGTGCCATGTAGAGGGGTCAGCTGTGTTCTTCCGTGTCACATTGCGTGAATCAAAGGCAGGGAAAACATGACTTCTTGTACTCGGCTGTGTTAGCAACCGGATGAATATTGCCAGTCGTTGCTTTTTTTCCTTTTGTAAAATAATTAACACATATTGTTTATCTTTCTTATAATTAAAAGGATATATATTAATTTTAGCAACTTGAGAAAATATAGATACATGAAAAGACAAAATTAAAAATGACAATCCTACTCCCCAGCAATAACCACAAAATAATGTTTTGTTTATATTCTCTAGGCCTTTTTAGACAAATACATGAAAATAATGTAAATCCATAGATTTATAAAAATAGAAAAGCAAGTCACAAAATAGCAAACGTGATTAACGTGATTGATTAGGCTGTGAGTTTTGTAGGTGGACGTGTATATAAATCTATACTGTTGAACACATATTAACAATATTCTATTATAAACATGTACCATAATTTATATACCTAATTTAGGCTAATTACGTATCATTTAAATAAAACATTACATTATTATAGAGTTTCAGATAATGAAGATATTTCCACATTGAGAAGATGACAGCTATGATTTTTAAATAATGAGTTTCTTTTTTTTTTTTTTTGAGACAGAGTCTTGCTCTGTTGCCCAGGCTGGAGTGCAGTGGCACATTCTCTGCTCACTGCAACCTCTGCCTCCTGGGTTCACGTGATTCTCATGCTTCAGCCTCCCAAGTAGATTCTCGTGCCTCAGCCTCCTAAGTAGCTGGGATTACAGATATGCACCACCATGCCCAGCTAATTTTTTGTATTTTTAGTAGAGTCAGGATTTCACCCTGTTGCCCAGGCTGGTCTCAAACTCCTGAGCTCAGGCAGTCCACCCGCCTCAGCTCTCAAAGTGCTAGGATTGCAGGTGTGAGCCACTGCTCCTGACCAAACAATGAGTTTCTTAAAGGATGAATTAAGTTCACAGAAGAACAGCACATGCCTAATGTAATCCCTCTGCAGGGAAGGCCAGCTGGTTTAGCATTTCCACCTTCCATCTCTTCCTTATGTCCTTCTACTAAAAATAATATTGTGATGAACAACCTTGGGCCCTCATTTGATTATTTCCTTAGGAGAAGTTTCTGGAAGTGAAATTTGTAGTGAAAAATACATATTTTTAAGGTTTTAAAGCAGATTACCATCACATGACCCTCCACAAACACAGCAGGGGGCCACATCCTGGTCACACGGGTGACTCTCCTGTCTCCCCAGGCTTCCCCAGCCATGCTGTTTGGCTGAGCGCTTTTTACATATTTTTAAAATCTTTATTGCCTATTATTCCTCTCATGTAAACAGCTCCTTCATTTCCTTTGGCCTGTTTCCCACTTTTATTGAGGTTTTCAGCTGTTTTTCTTTTATCGATTTTTATGAGAGTTTCATGTGTTGTAGATTAGTTTGGGAATACCTGATCACTTTCCAACATTGAGTTTTTCTAGCCAGAAACATATGCTTCTCTGATTTATCCTCCCCTTCTGTAACTTGCAAAGCTGTATGGTTTTCTTTATAAATATGCTGTGCATTTCTAGTTATGTCTCCAAATTACATTTTCTGTGTTATTTATGAATAAGAATTTTCCACATTGTATATTTTACAATATTGCTGCTAAATTATGTAAATTTACTGGTCTTGTAATTTTGGCCATTCTCTAGGGGTTGACTGGCATTACATTAAATTCATAGGTTAACCCGGGAAGATGTATGTTCTGTTTAGCTAGGTTGTTTAAATTCCCAGGTCATTTCTTTTTACATTTTTTGGTTGGTGAATTGACTGAGATATTTGACTTGAGAATATTGAATACAGTTAAAGGGTAAGGGCAATTGGTGCTTGAGAAACTGAAACAAACAA